AACTGCTCAAGTGAATGGAAAGAATAAAAAGAGGGATCTTAGATACTTCAGAATACAAAAATACTCCACTAACTGATCTCCTCTGTTTCAAAATGTGTGATGTTCTGAATTTTCCAGTGCTTGGTATCGTGATCAATGCAAGTGTTTGTGTAATTATCCATTACATTTTTCATTGTCTCTTGTTGGTGATAATTGTTATCAATGTACGCTCAATTTCTATCATACCCAGTAAGCACCTCTATTGGTCAGGGTGCAGAGTCTGAAACTAGGACCAGGGAAGAATGTAAAATCTGTAGTGTGGGAGATCATTGTGTGTGAATAAATACAATTTCTACAATCTTCTTAACAAGTCAAGTTAGTGGAAAAACAGCCTGCCAGTACAAAAGCACTGTACAATTTAGGAAAGGTGATGGACATGTAGTTTGATATTGTCTGTATAAATGACAATGAGGTCATGAAGGGGAACATAGCTGAGGATCAAGAAGCAACAAAGGATGAACAATATTGCGAAAAACTGAATAGAAAATATTTCTAAAAGATAAAATAAGAATTTTCTTAAATGCAAACTGTTAATTCACACATTAAACAAAAATTGTAGTGTAATGCAGCTGATATTCCAGATGATGGCACTGTTAACTAAAAGAAAGGGTGTTGGAAACAAATTGGCAAAAAGAAATAAAACAGCACACAGTCATTAAATGAGGTCATGGCTGGTCTAATAATTGTCAACTCTGCTCGCCTTCCTTTCCCCCATAACCTTTGATTGTTTTACTGATTAAAAATCTGTCTATGTCAGCTTTTAATATATTTAATGACCCAAACTCTTCAGCACTTTGCTGTAAAAATCCACAGATTTGCTACCTGCTGTGAGAATATGTTCCTTCTCTGCCTTAAATGGGAGACCTTTTACTCTGAGATTATGAATAGGCCCAAAGCACTCAATGTCTCCTCATAAGAAAGTCCATCCCTACTTAGGGTCAATCTAGCGATCTTCTCTTCACTGTCTCCTATGCCTGTATATTAGATTAGGCGACCAAAACCGTTCACAGTATACCAAGTGTGGCCTAACTAGTGCCTTGTAGAGTTCCAACAAAACTTCCCTAGAGTCACAGAATCATAGAATCCTATAGCATGGAAAAAGGCCCTTTGGCCCATCATGTCCTTACCAGTCAAAAACAGCCAATTAACTATTCTAAAGCCATTTTCCAACTCGTAGCCTGTTGCATTGCATGCCTTGACATTACAAGTGCACACACATTTTTATACTCTATTCCTTCTGAAATAAAAGGACAATATTTCACTTACTGAACCTATATGCCAACTTTTATTATAATTAATTGTATAAGGACTCCCAAATGTCTCTGCTGTAGCTTTCTGCAATCTTTATCAATTTAAAAACTATTCAGCTTCTCAATTTTTCCTGTAAAAGTGCATTGTCTCACACTTTCTCATGCTATATTGCATCTGCAATGTTTTTGAACACTTGTTTAATCTATATCCTTCTATGGACTCATTGTGTCATCCTCACTATTTACAGTATCACTTACTTTGGTGTAATCAGCAAACTTGGCTACAGTACCTTTACTTTCCTTATCCAAGTCATCAACACAGATTGTAAATAATTGTGGCTCCAGTACTGTTCCCGAAGGTACACCGCTAGTTACAGACTGCTATCCTGAACTTGCCCCACTTATTCCAAATCTTTCTCTTCTATTAGTTAAGCCAACCTTCTATTGATGTTAATAGACTGCTTCCAACACCATAAGCTCTTATCTTAAGTAGATTAACATGTGACATCTTATCAATACAAATATTTTACATCCACTGCTACCCTTTCATCCATCCTGTTGTAACCTCTTCAAAGAAATTTGGTAAATTTGTCAGGCATTATTTTCCCTTTGTGAAATCATGCTGATATTGCTTGATCATTTTATGTATTTTGTAGTGCTCTGCTATTATATCCTCTATACTAGACTAGTATTTTCTCAATAACAGATGTAAGGCTAACTGGCCCGTAGCAAGCTGTTTTTTTGTCTTCTTCCTTTCTTAAATTAAATGTTACATTGGCAGTTTTCCAATTGTCTAGAATTCCTCCAGAATCAAAGGAATCTCGGAAGATTACTACAATGGATCCATTTTCTCTGTAGCTACTTGTTTTACAATCCAAGGATTCATCTGATCTGGTCCACAGGCCATATCAGTGTTTAGCCCCATTGATCATTTAGTGTTTTTGGAATGTTGTTCATGTCTTCTATTGTGAAAACTGATGCCAGGTATTCATTCAACTCTTCTTCCATTTCCTCATTCCCCATTATTATTTTCCCAGTCTCATCCTCCCAAGGGCTTTTGTTTACTTTGGCCTCTCTCTTCCTTTTTATATTTCTAACGGAGCTCTTGCTGTTCATCTTGACATCACTTGCGTTTACTTACATATACAACTTATGAACAGGCCATTCAGCCCAACAAGGTCATGCCATGGTTTACACACCACTCAAGCCTCATACCATTTTTCTTCATCCAAGTCTTGTATTGTTAACATCTCCTCCCTTCTCCCTCAAATGCTTGACTAGTTTCGCCTTAATTGCATCTATGCTTTTCACTTTAACCACTCCCTGTGACAGCAAGTCTCACATTTTCACGAATCTTTGGAAAAATGGGTTTCTTCAGAATTCCCTGTTGGATTTCTTGCTGAATTTCTTCAGTTGACAGCCTCTGATTGTATTCTTCACCAGAAGAGGAAACATTCCCTCGACATCCACTTCTATCAAAACCTACCATAATTTTAAAAACTTCTATTAGGTCAGATCTCAGTTTTTTTTTTAGAAAAAATACCCAGTCCGTCAATTCTTGCCTAATATTTATATGGTATGTATAGACCACGTTGACTAATTTTCACTATTTTGGATTATGAATCAAAATGGAAAAAGGACTGCTTTGGAAGGAGTTGCACTTTTAAAAACAACTTACTAGAAGTCATTGTGAGCTATGTTTGCATTACTGCTTAGTCCTAACTGTGGAGGAGTGGGGGGTGTGGTGTTTGAGAACTAATGTCACTGTGGGTGTCTGTTCAGGACAAGCTTCACCCAGAGACAGATTGCTAATTGTGATCTCAATTAGGCCCAGTGTTGTAGTTGTGCAGGGCTGAATATGACAAAATGGCTATTGGGTGTTTTCTTTTAAGCGATACAGACAATCAATGGAAATTTTAGCTGATACAGCATTTCATACAGCTCAAATCATGGCCTACACAGACAGACAATGAAATGCCTCCAAGTTTTCGTAAGATGGGACTAGAATGCAAACAGTATGACTAATAAGGCAGCTCAGATGAAAACTATCTGACTTGAGATTTCTGATTCTTATATGAAATAAAAGGGAAAGCTTGACCTACCTGAAATGAGGCTTTTAGAAATAATTATAATTACAGATTAGAATAAATACATATTTGTACAATAATAGAAGTTTACATTTATTAGGTATTGGGTAATTAAATTTCTGAAGGTAGTTAACCACTGGTAGAGACACCCCTGAAGAAACTGTTTTCTCCATCAGCAAGAAGATTGGAACAACAAAAAGGAGTAAACAAGATAACGTCATAAGAGCACCAAGAGACAAATAATGCAGCAAGAGGGGGCAGAAACAATTTTGAAACAGGATCACTATGACCTCGAGAGAATAAACAACAGCTACTTCGCAAGTTGGATAAGAGGGAAGCTGCTCCTGAAATTGTTAGCTTTGTCGCAGAATCATAACGTTAGGTTTAACAATGTACAACTTTATAAGTAACTTTATATTAGAGCAGATATTGCGAATATTGTAACAATTGGTAGAAATTCTTATCCTTTTTAATCTTCTGTATTAAGATCAGCAAGGGATATGAACTGCATGACCAAATATTACAAGTCATTAGTAATAAGCAAGTGTATGATTTGCTGGCAAATGTCTAGCAAGGGACATAACAATCACTGTCGGAATATGGTCAATAATCGTAACGGCCCAAGGACAGGTAATAGGGGGTCTAGCAAACATCTTGAGATGATGGGAGGACCTAAGCTGGACCTGAAGTTGTCCATCATTAATCATGTATTCACAGGGTTGGATGTGCAGGTCAGAGGGAATGTGGCAAATACTGATGTCAAAGTTGCTTGTAACCATTGTAACGCGGTATGTATAAATATCCTGTACTTTATTGGGAAACGTAGACTATCACTGACCTCCAATCTGAGCTATTATTAAGAGGGCAATGGGACCCATGTGAAAGCCAGATTTGGAAAAGTGCCTAGCATCTCCCACATGTGGTGGTAAAGCAGCTCCAAATAAAGATGGATTTGTGTGACTGAACACGGGACTCAGACTCTTCTATAAAATCCCTCTCCAACAGCCAGTCACGTGGCCCAGGAGTCATCAGGATGACAACAATGCTCTGATTGGCTCCTAGGCAATTGGACAGCTTGTGCATGAACTGTACAGGGCAGAAGGTCTCTAGGATACAAGAGACAGCAACTCTCTGTAGTGAATTAAGCAAGAATTGAAAGATAGCTCTCCCCTCATTTGCTACAAGCTGTTGCCCCCTAAATAGTGACTGAACAACAAACATGTTGAATGTTCTGCCTCTTTAGCAAAGAACTGAAAGGGTCTGGGAAAAAAAGAGGTCAGACATCAGAAGGATTTAGAAGAAGCAAAAGGGACTTCTCATCAAATCATGTGGACTTGTGCTACTGGACTACATTTCTCCAGTAATTTTACCTCCACCCATAACATTCATGTTTGTTTGTCTGTGTCCGGCTGTACATGTGTATGGGTTTAGGAAAGTGATAGTGCAAGTAAAGTCATATCTCGAGAATTCATATTTTGTTTTCCTGTTGTTAGATGTAATTTATTCATAATAAATAGTCCATCTATATCATTTTATTAATATAATATGACAAGCAAATTTGTATGTAATATTATAAGTGTAGTCTAACCACGAGTTTGATACAGGTTGAACATAACTTCCTTACTTTTCAATATTATCACACTAGTATAAAGGACAGAAAAGTAAAAGATTAGAAGAACAGCAACAAAGCCACTGCCTCTGCAGCACCAGACAGCTGTAAGTTGCTACCTTTATCTTATGAGGAATATAAATCAACAATGTACAAAATGCAATTTTGTACAGACTGCATATAATGGCTGAATATCACACAGTTCACACACTAAGGTCTGTAATGTTTAATCTTGGTGTCCCATCAAGCGACGCACAACGCTGGGGACAGAATCCCAATGTCCAAACAACTGACGAGTCTAAATATTTTGCTTTTAGTTACATGAAGAAGTGAGCAACAAAGCCATATTATCTTAATCCTAATACTGCATGTGTTTTTTCTTTGCCACACGACTGTTTAATTTTTGCTACTTACGTGGTTAATCTTTGCTTCAAGCACACACTCAGTGGTCATAGATCTACATGCCAGGTGCTTCACAATGTGTTTGCAAGCTTCTGTTTTGCCTGATCCAGTTTCACCACTGCAAGAGAGAAGACACATGAGTCTGATCCATCTTCAGAACTCAACAAATGAATCAGATGGAAGAAAACAGATTGAACAGAACATCAAGTTTTAACAAAGCACAGCTGAATACTAGTAACTCTCACCTTTGAGAGAGAGAGAGACAGACAGATAATGAATTTAACCTGACGGTATGTGAGCTTTTCAATTAAATCCCATATTAAGGCTAGAATTGCACCCTGGAGTTTGACTCCTTCAGTAGCATAGCTGCCATCTTCAGAATTACAACCCCATTGCTATAAACTGAACCAAGTTACATTGGCCAACACTTACATTTCACTGCTCAACTTCATTTAGTTCAGAATTCACTAATGGCAAAGCTAATGACTCCCAGTTAAGGTGATGAAGTTTAGTCAAAGTAATTGCTTCTTTAATGTTTTTCTGTTTCTCTCCAAAAGACACTGGTGCATATTGAATGGGAGCTAAGAGTGGAGTTGACAAAGATTGAGTACAACAAGGGATGAGTGCACATTTTGTGCTGGTGGGATACGTGTGGTACATTTTCCTCAAGCGAACATTTAGATTAACAATCAGACTTTGACTTAGAACTTTAAACTACAAACTAGTTAAAAATCTGAGTTTAGCGGAAGCTGTATGGCAAATGGCACAGAACAAATAGTATCTTGGGAATTTGGTGTAAGTGCTAATTTATTGCAGAGAGAGATGGAGTTGTCACTTTTTACATCTCTTTCTCAGCGTCAAATAGCTGGCGCTTGTTCACAGGCCTTAATTAGATGAGGAGGTAAATGACTAGTTAGTGAGTTTTAAGATGTTTATCTATCAAAACACATGCAGTTTAAATTGGCACTGGGGAGATACAAGCATTGTATCAAATTTATAGTGAAACTGGTTGAACCACTCAATAGATTACCTGTAGCTATTCTACTGGAGGGACTTAGTGTTCCTGTGCATGATTCACAAAAGCTACAGGTACACCAAATATTGAAAAATCTAACGGGATGCTATCCTTTATAACAAGAGGGTTTATTAGCAGGTTTGAAAGTAAATAAACCCCCAGGCTCAGATGAGATGTATCCCAGGCTAGAGTGGGAGGCAAAGGAAGAGATTTATAGGAGCTATGACATTAACTTTCAATTCCTCTTTGCCACTTGGAGGGATTCAAGAGAACTAGAAGACAGCTAATGTGGTACCATTATTCAAGAAGGGCAAGAAGAATGAATGCTACTGTAACTTGAATAAAACAGCAAAAACACCAAAGTGCATTTTGAGATTTAATCCTTTACATTGTGAGAACATGCTGTCATACATGCTTTTAGTTACAATTGTGTTGCCCTTATCATACAACAAAACCTTTGCTCTCCTTCTTACACCAAAGTCCCATTCTGCTCAGTGAAAGAGGGATCGCTTCCACAATTACCACCATATTTCTAAATGTCTGCAATATTGTGTTTAGAACATGTTACAGGTCATTTTCCGTCTCTGACAACCACTTCAGTTGGGTATGCTGGCCAAATCCATGGCTGTCTCTCCCACATTTGTAACTATCCATAGCCTCATAGGTCCAATCCCAGTCTGGGTCATTGTGAGCCCTCTTGTCCTGCAGATCCAACAGTCAGAGTGTTGTCAGCTTAACATATAATGCCACCACAGACAAGTCTCTTCAATTTGGCACTGCATCAGCTGGATGCTCCTGTGTAGACCTCCAAGAGCAGGTTGGACATACCTCTCCTGTACCATGGAGGATTGTATTGGGCAAATCACCTACCAAAGGTGCAGCTTTCTGATGTGAACCATCCCCATTGACATATGTGCGCTCCAGATCAACTCACCTTCCAAAAGCACAGCCAGTAAGGGAACCTCTTCCTGCAGTGTATCAACATCTCCTGCTGCACTCACAGTGGATGCTAAATCCAGCTATAACCTCTTGGACACCATGGATGGTTTCTGCCAGCCACTCGGGTTAACATGTGACATCTGTGCAACTCCTTGTTACTTAAATTACTCTAGTCCCATTCGCCAGCATTTGATCCACATCCCTCTAAAACTTTCCTATTCATGTATCCATCCAGATACCTTTTAAGTGTTGTAATTGTACCAGCTCCCACCACTTCCTTTGGCAGTTCATTCCATACACGCATGCTCTGAACATGAAAATGTTGCCCCCTTCGGCCCCTTTTATATCCTCTTACCTTAAACCCATGCCCTCTAGTTTTGGACACCCCTACCCTGGGAAAAAGTCATTGTCTATTCACCCTATCCTTGTCCCTCATGATTTTATAAATCTCTATAAGGTCATCCCTCAGCCTCCAATCATCAGGGAAAATAGTTCCAGCCTATCCAGCCTCTCCTTATAGGTCAAACCCTCCAAACCCGGCAACATCTTTGTAAATCTTTTCTGAACCCTTTCAAGTTTCACAACATCCTTTCTATAGCAGGGAGATCAGAACTGAATGCAGTATTTCAAAAGTGGCCTAACCAAAGTCCTGTACAGCCATAACATGACATTGCAGCTGCTATACTTAATGCACAATAAATGCCTTCTTCACCACCTGTCTACCCATGGCTCCCCACCTTCAAGGAGCTATGAACCTGTACTCCAAGGTCCCTTTGTTCAGCAACAATCCCCAGTACATAAGTACATAAGTCCTGCCCTGATTTGTCTCACAAAAATGCAACCCTTCACATTTATCTAATTTAGATTCCATCTGCCACTCCTCGGCCCATCGGCCCATCTGATCGAGGTCCCGTTGTACTCTGACTTAACCTTCTTCATTGTCCACTATACCAATAATTTTGGTATCTTCTGAAAACTTACCAAACATTCCTCCAATATTCACAACCAAATTAAAAACAGTGGACCTAGCACCAATCATTGTGGTGCACCAGTGGTCACAAAGGATTCCAGTCCAAAAAACAACGTTCCACCATTGCCCTCTGTCTCCTACCTTCAAGCTAATTTTGTATCGAAATGGCTAGTTCTCCCTGGATTCCGTGTGATCTAACCTTGCTAAACAGTCTACCATGCGGAACTTTGTCAAATGCCTTACTGAAGACCATATAGATAATGTCCACCGCTCTGGCTTCATCAATCTTCTTTGTCATTTCCTCAAAAAACTCAATCAAGTTAGTGAGACACGAATTCCCATTCACAAAGCTGTGTTGACTATCTCTAATCAGTCATTGCCTTTCCAAATACATGCAAATCCTATTCCTCAGGATCCCGCTCCCAATAACTTACCCACATTCATGTCAGACTCACCAGTCTACAGTTCCCTGACTTTTCCTTACTACTTTCCTTAAATAGTGGCACCACATCAGCCACACTGCAGTCTTCCAGCCCCTCACCCATTGCTATCCATGACAGAACTATGTCAGCATGGCCCTAGGAATCACTTCTCCAGCAGCCCGCAGAGTTCTGGGATACACCTTATCAGGTCCCAGAGATTTATCCACCTTTATACGTTTTATAACACACAGCACCTCCTCTTCCCTAATATGGACACTTTTTTCAAGATACCACCTTTTATTTCTCCAATAGTTTCCATATCCCTCTCCACAAGTAATTGTACATAATTTTGCATCAGTATTTATGCATATTTCAGTGTACTATAGTTTTGGAAGCAGATTCCAAATACTTGCCAAGGTTAAAGAAGATGTTTTAACAAGAATACCAAGGATGAAGGACCTTAGTAATGTGGAGATACTGGAGAAGCTGAAATTGTTCTATTCAGAGTTGAGTCCTACCAGTGCACTGTAACAGCACAAGTCGAGACAAATAATCTCCTGTAGCAAGAGCTTAATGACCAAAGTTCATAGATTTAAATCAGCAGCTTAAAAAATACTGAAAGGGGAAATTAGAAAACATTTTTTTACACAGTAGCTTTTCATCATAGGCAGAATAAAGGCCACAATTGACCAGCCCACACTTGCAAACCCTCAAAATAAAATATCTTTTATTGGATGTAATTCTGTGATTGGACCTGCTCAAAATCCTCATTGTGCTAATAACTACACTAACAGTAAATGTAAGAAAATCAGTTGAATCTGTAATGTGCCTTAATTCACCTGGACCATCTCTAATACCTCTCTCTCCTTCCTGGACCTCTCTGTCTCCATCTCGGGCAACCACCTAGAAACCGATATCCATTTCAAGCCCACCGACTCCCACAGCTACCTAGAATACTCCTCCTCCCACCCACCTTCCTGCAAAAATGCCATCCCCTATTCCTAATTCCTTTGCCTCCTCCACATCTGCTCCCAGGATGAGGCATTCCACTCCCGTACATCTCAGATGTCCTCGTTTTTCAAGGACCGCAACTTCCCCCACTCAGTGATCGAGAACGCCCTCAACCATGTCTCCCACATTTCCTGCAACTCATCCCTCACACCCTGTCCCCGCAATAACAACCAAAAAAGAATCCCCTTCATCCTCACGTACCACCCCACCAACCTCCGGATCCAACGCATCATCCTTCGACACTTCTGTCATCTGCAATCCGACCCCACCACCAAAGACATCTTTCCCTCCCCACCCTTATCTGCTTTATGGAGGGACCACTCTCTCCGTGACTCCCTTGTCCGCTCCACACTCCCCTCCAGCCCCACCACTTTTCCCTGCAACCGCAGGAAGTGCTACACCTGCCCCCATACCTCCTCCCTCACCCCCATCCCAGGCCCCAAGAAGACTTTCCACATCAAGCAGATGTTCACCTGCACATCTGCCAATGTGGTATACTGCATCCGCTGTACCCGGTGTGGCTTCCTCTACATCGGGGAAACCAAGCGGAGGCTCGGGGACCGCTTTGCAGAACACCTACGCTCGGTTCGCAATAAACAACTGCACCTTCCAGTCGCGAACCATTTCAACTCCCCCTCCCATTCCTCAGACGACATGTCCATCCTGGGCCTCCTGCAGTGCCACAACGATGCCACCCGAAGGTTGCAGGAACAGCAACTCATATTCCGCTTGGGAACCCTGCAGCCCAATGGTATCAATGTGGATTTCACAAGCTTCAAAATCTCCCCTCCCCCTACTGCATCCCAAAACCAGCCCAGCTCGTCCCCGCCTCCCTAACCTGTTCTTCCTCCCACCTATCCCCTCCTCCCACCTCAAGCCGCACCCCCACCTCCTATCGACTAACCTCATCCCGCCCCCTTGACCTGTCCGTCCTCCCTGGACTGACCTATCCCCTCCCTAACTCCCCACCTACACTCACCTTTACTGGCTCCATCCCCGCCTCCTCGACCTGTCTGTTTCTTCTCCACCTATCTTCTCCTCTATCCATCTTTTATCCGCCTCCCCCTCCATCCCTATTTATTTCAGAACCCCCTTCCCCTCCCCCATTTCTGATGAAGGGTCTAGGCCCAAAACGTCAGCCTTTCTGCTCCTATGATGCTGCTTGGCCTGCTGTGTTCATCCAGCCCTGCACCTTGTTGTGCCTTAATGATGCTTGTTTAAAGCAACATGTATTTGTACACAGGGATCTTGGGGGGTGTACATCCCTATTGCTTCCCCACAGCAATATCTTGGCTAATCAGAGTTGATTTGCCATGTGATCAGTACGCTTGTAGTTTAAATTTTTGTGATAATTTGACATTCTTTCACTTGTCTTAATTAATACGTTGAAAATCTCCAGCCTCATATCTCTTTTTTCAACAATATACAAGTTCCATATTACTAAGCAAGTATCTAATAACTCACCTTTTAAATCAAATCCAGGTCTAGACAAAATTTCTGTTAGCTAACATACCGCTTCGCTTTTGCTAAGTTTCACTGCCTCTCTACTTTGAACTTTCACGCTTTGAGACCTTTCCAACTGTCTCCAAGGCTATTTTCTACCTTACCACAGCAATTTTATCTTGTTCTTTATCCCAGATCCTGCTCAGAACTCTTCCAATTCTGGAATTACACCTGATCTCCTAATCCCTGTTCTACACATCAGATACCAATTTTACAGCGAGTACAATTACAACCTTTAAACGACATTTGGACAGCTACATGGATAGGAAAAGTTAAAAGGATATGGGCCAAATGCAGACAAGTGGGCTTAGTTCAGGTCAGGAAACCTGTTCAACATGGATGAGTTGGGTCAAAGTGTCTGTTTCTGGGCTGTATAACTGTATGACTCTATACTGATTTGAGTCAAAGGGCTATTAAAATAAAGAAATGCTAACTATACCTTAGGATGAAGCACTGTGACCTTTGCTCCTGTATCATCATATGATAAGCTCTTTCAGTGCATGAAAATATGTGTGGTGGGAGTGAGGAACTCAACCTCACTATATTACTCAGGTAAAGCTGGGTGATCTACAGAAAAGAAGGACACATTATTCAAAAGTCAGTGTTTGTGCTTCCATCCCAGAAAATCACAAAACATTAAAACATTCTTCTGTTGGAAATGAATGAAACAACAATTACAACTGGCATACTCTGGAGAGAAACAGCAACCTCCTCCTAGTGAGGCTAAGTTAGAAACTGTTCAAGTAAAAAGTACTCGAGAAAATATTTTCCCCTTGGAACAAAGTTTAAAAATTAGCCATGTTAATAATTGTGTGGTGTGAATCTTGTGCCAATTTAAGATTTCATTGATTGACTTTAATTTCCAATAACACTCCTTTGCTTCGGATTAATTGAGGTATGAGATGGGAGTGAATTTTAACGCATTGCTCCTGGTGGTAACCAAACATTGAAATGGAAGCATCTGTTGCCGATCTCTGTCTCTGCTGGGTTGTTTGATTGGCTCAAGAACCCGTTGGAAAAAGGCAGATGCCTCAGACATTTAGGTAAATTGAGATGGCATCACGTTAATAAGGTTTTTCATTTGAGATTGAACTAAAATCAATGTGGTCTTCCAACTGGGTAAAGTAGAAAATAATCATCGTCTTCCCTAAAGAGCATCCCACCCAGACTCACACTCCTGCCCTATAATGCTGCATTTCTCATGGCTAATCCACCTAGCATGCACATCCCTGGACACTAAGGGGCAATTTAGAATGGCAATCCACCGAAACTGCACATTCTTGGACTGTGGGAGGAAACTACAGCACCTGGTGGAAACCCATGAAGACACAAGGAGAGTGTGCAACTTCCACACAGTTGCCCTTGGATGGATTCAAACCCAGGTACCTGGCACGTGAGGCAGCAGTGGTAACCGCTGAGCCACTGTGCAGCCCATTGCATTGTATATAAATGAGTATTTCAGTAAATCTTACCATAACTTACCAGTGCAGACACAATGGGCCAAATGTTTCCTTCTGTACCATAACACTTCTGTGATTCTGTGATAAATTAGGGTTGAGCTGATCACTGTTCAAGCCAATGGGAGCAACTGGGTAATTTACTGACCAACCAATGATAAACTATAGAATGTTTAGTTAACCCAATACCATGGAGAGAGAAAAAAAATCAAGATTCATTAGGATCAAAATTGAGACTTGAAATTCCAATGCAGACTCTTTCTGGATGAGACTTCCAATTCACATTCTCAGCTGGAGTCTCTTGCACAGAAGGACAACCTGTAAATTATGGTGTGCCTGATATTAGTCTGTGGACAGCTGAGTCAACAATCCATTGCACTGCCTTGTTAAAGTCAGTACAATCTCCTCTGAGCTGCATCAAATCCAGTGGGATACTGTGCACGAGAGGAAAGTCAGAATTTTGTTGTTATTCATTCATTCACAGGATGTGGCATCACTGGCGAGGCCAGCATTTATTACCGATCCTTAACTGCCCATAACCACATTGCTGTGGGTCTGGAGTTACATGTAGGTCAGACCAGGTAAGGATGGCAGATTTCCTTCCCTGAAAGGCATTGGAGACCCAGCTGGGCTTTTCCTGACAATTGACACTGGCTTCACGGTTATCACTAAACTCTTCATTCCAGATTTTTAATTGAATCCGAATTCCACCAACTGCCATGGCAGGATTCAAACCTGAGTGTCCAGATCATTATCAGCGTCTCTGGATTAATAGTCTGGTAATAAAATACTACACCATTGTGTAACATATAATATATAATGCCAATAAAAAAGAAATTTCGCTTACCATGGTGGAATATATTGGAAGTTCTTTATATGGATTTACCAGCAGCAAAATATGTCCAATATAAGTCTGAGAAAAAAAAAGTCAGTCATTCATTGCTTAATTAGATGGGCCATTCTGTGAAGGGAAGGCTTATGTTCTTGAAGGATAAAATCAGATTAAATGTAATATTTAATAATGTTAATAGATCAAACATAGGCAATAAGGAGCTTAGGCATCCATTTTGAAAGTTGTGAAACTGAAATCCAAGAGATAGCAAGAACTGCTGATGTTAAGAGTCAGCAATAACACAGTGTGGAGCTGGAGGAACACAGCAGACCAGGCAGCATCAGAGGAGCAGGAAAGTTGACATTTAGAATCAGGTTTTTTGAAGAAGGGTCCCGACCCAAAACGTCAACTTTCCTGCTCCTCTGATGCTGCCTGGCCTGCAGTGTTCCTCCAGCTCCACACTGTGGTTATCTCTACTTAAAACTGAAATCCAAGTTGTGTTGAGTTTTTTGGAGGGTTTTTCACTGTGAAGCCTAGTGAGTTCTCTCCAATACTTTACCAAATTTTCTGTGTTAACTACCTATGTCACATGATTCTGGGTTAATTTTTTTCACATACTGTTCCTAGAACAACTTGCCACTTAGCAGATATCAGCCAAAAGATTGACAGTGTTTACACTGGCACCATTTTTGAAAGGCCGCTGGACAAATGTTGGCAATTCAGCATTACCCCTTACCACTAGCAGCAAGCAATTGTTCTCAGAACTGTAGCTTGTAGAAATGGATGTGATTCTCTAGGAAGTAATGGAGCAAACAAAACTTTGCACAGTGAGTATATGATTTGACACATCACTGGGTTCAGCAAATCTAGTTCCAGGTAATGGTCATAGTGATGGCTAGGTTGGGTACTACAGAAAACAAAATATTTTCTCTTCCTTTGAAGGAGTAGTCTGGGAAAGATCTGATGTTAGACCAAAGCTGAATCAACAATAGGAGATTTAATTAAGTTCCATTATTGAAATTTTTATAGAATCGGAGCAAGAGTCTCCAAGTATTTCTTTTTATCCTTGCCTTGAAAAAGTAAGTATTAAAGTGCAACAAAAAACTTTATACCCTTGTCCCTACTAATGTGCATTCATTTCAAGATATAAATTCCAACAGATCTTGAAGTTGCAATGGTGAATTACAATTATGCCAACGTGCAAGTAAAGCACTCTTTGTGGAACCAAACAGACTCACAGAGTACGAAATATTATGGGAAAGGTGCATACACTTGAAAGTAAAACAGGTAGATTTCTTTCAGAAAATGAGCCCTCTGAGATGTGACATTGTTAGGTGTAGCACACTATAAAGAAACAGGTAACTATCTGTGCACCACTGGAATTCTCCTTGTTTCTTATTTCCATCTGTTATGGACTAACTGATAGATATTAATTGCTTTAATTAGCTAACAACTCATTATTGCAGAAGAGATTATGACCTGGGTGGTGAAACACCAGCTAGATAGACTTATGTTGTTTATTTTCTAGCATCTTCACAGTTTCTATAAGACATGAAGAGTAGATTTTTGTGGCTTGGGAGTCTTACGTGACCTAAAGACAGCTGGTGGCATTTGCTTGCTCTAGATTCTCAGTGCAGAGGTTATAATTAACTGTACAATCTAGTCTGGTTTAGACTTTAATCTTCTTTACACGTTCCTCTCTTTTTTTTAATGTTCTGCCTTTCACTGTCATCAACATAATTTGGCAACATTCGAGTAAATGTTAGTCCTCCTTTAAATCGTGCATATGACAACCTTACTGAATGTTGAAGAAATGAAGTGAATGAATGGATTCCTGTGTTCTTTGTTGGAGAATGCCAACAGTTTGAAATTAACTCCCAAAATGTTTTACTTTGTGCTATTTGATTTCTTTGAGTGTCGGCTTTGGCTCAATAGCTTGGGCTTTTCTAAGTCAGAGATGGGCTTTCCTATCCCAGAAACTAGTGCTGTACTGAGGGAGTGCTAAGTTTCTGGAAATGCCATCATTTCAATGAGAGGTGTGATGATGATGTGTCTGTTTCCTCAGGGACACTTAAAAGATCCCAGAGCAAAATTTCAATCAACAGCACAGGAGTTATCCCTGGTGCTCCCAGGGAACAATTATTCAACATTACTAAAAGACATTATATATGGTCAAATTGGAAGCTTATTCTAATGCAAACCAGCTTGGCTGCCATGTTTCTTATGTTGTAACATTTATGGAATTTTAAATGTACTAGATTTCCCGAAAATTTGGACATCCTATGTTTGTGAAATACATGCTTTAAATGCAAGACTTTCATATCAGCTGCAAGTTCCAGACAGTAAGATACATGTCTATGCGTGCCCACTTACATATATCTGATCATTGGTGAATCGCTTCTGAATTTCATACAGAAGGCTTCTATCTGTCAATTCACTCAAAGTAGAAAGGTCATCGTTCGGAGCAGGAGGAATCAGCTTCACCTGGAGTTTGTAACAAAGACAGGAGCGAGTGGGAGGAGGAAATCATAAAATAGAGCAAATTTTTTGAATGAACTAATTCCTCAATCATGTACTTTCAAACAGAAGCAGTCACAGGATGGAGCCTTCAAAGAATCAGATTTGTAACACTAGCTTATCCATTGATTTCTTTAAATTAGGCCAATGGATAAATTATTAACTAACCACAACAAGAGGCTTCCCCACCAGACCCAGCCAGCCTGGACAGAAACAGCAGAAAAGAGACAATAGTGCTGTCAACATGTGGGAAGGGCCACCCAGCATGATGGAAAGTCAACTATCCCTGTGCTGCTCTGGGTTAAATGCCATCATCGCCTCTCTGAAACCTCACACTCACGAGGCCATTACTCACTTTAAATCTGCTACTGTACACTAATCTCACCAAGGCTAAGGGATCATAATGTTTAGCATCACATGCATCATGTCTAATGAAGGGCTCACCCCCACTTCATCCTTTACAGCTATTAACCAACTAATTCCTTCTGTTCTTTCATTCATTTACTGCCAGCAGTTAAGGAGTCTCCATGTGGAAGTTACCTCTACCCGTCAGGAGAAAACCTGTGATGCCTATAGATCCACAAAGGTGCCAGCACTGAGACTTCCATCTACCTATCGATAGACATTAGACTCAGGGGACAATCTGGTGGGATCAGCACTGGAATGCTTCTGCAGTCAATGGTGGGAGAAACACCCAAGGTGTCTGGCATTCAGAGGACTGGGGACCTGGCATCTATTCGGCCTCAGGGAGAAAACATGCCCTTGGTCTCAGCCATAAGTGACGTGCTCATTCTGCAAAGAAAGGCTGAGGAACATCAGGCAGGTGTGCTCGAGACACTTGGTAGGCTGGAACAAAAGATGAAATCTTTCAAAGTTATCATTAGTGTGGTGTCCCTGGCAAGTGAGCAGCTGAGGTGCCTCCACGATACTGCCTTGATGCTCAGTGCCTGCTGTGTAAGCTGCTGAATATGTGCTCAGATCTGTACTTAATCATTGTAGCTTTAAGCGCATATCAAGTGTGTGAGGATATGGCATTTATATTTTGTCTTCCAGTACTTGCTATAGATTGTCATGGCCAATTGAGAGCAACAAGTTCAGCTTTTAAATTCATTTATACGATGAGATTTGTTATATCACAAGGTAGCAGTGTCCAAAATTCAATACTAATAATCCAGTGTCAAAATGCACAGACAAAGGGTCCAGCAAGTGCATGCCCATTGACCATGGAAGCATCATGTGCATAACATGCAGTTCGATATAAACCAATACTAAATAGCTGACACATGATGGTTGCAATGGATGCTTTTGAGACAAGTTGCTAGGTTCCTGTTCAGTTTTAGTGGTTGAGTTTTCGTGCTGTCAATTTCTTCGATTGTGGAGAGAAAAATTGGAAGTGCAATGTTAATACAGCAAATTGAGTTATTAGTGAGAACCAAATGGATGGAACTAAATTTCTCACCACTCAACAGCAAGATTTGCACTTGCTATCTAAGGCATGAGTACATATTTGGGACTTTTTTTTCTCTCAACGGCAAGAATCTGATTTTTGGACGCTTGCCCAATTAAGTAATCTCAGTCACCATCATTTTTTATTTTGATTTTATTTTCATGTGTATTTAAAGGTAAAAATTCAACAACATACAGTGAAAAGTTTTTGTTTCCCACCTTAGAGAGAAATATTCACCTTTTAAAGTTTCTACAGGAGCAGGGAAACAGCAACTTTCTGATTTTCTGCCCATGTACACTTATGCTAAATTACTAGTCATTTTATAATTTAGTACAGATGAACGCTAAATAGCCTCACCCTTCTCCTATCCCAAAATAACTTTAAATAGAGAACTATTAGTCAATCAAGTTCAAAGCCACAAAGATATATTTTGTGCACAAATCTATTTAAAGAGTTTCAGTTCACACCTCAGCCTTACCAAATTAGCACCCAAATCAAAGCTACTGTCTTCTGACTCATCCAGAAAGGGTTATTAAGAGCTGAATAGACATTCTTAAGACAGTTTTGTGTCTTTGATTCTTCCTTTAACTCAAAGAAGAAGGACTTACTTTAAAGCTATTATGTATTCAAAGTCTATTTCAAATGTATAATGTATTGCCCTCAACAAAATTTGATACATGATGTTATAATTTGAAAGATAACATTTATGAGAAGGGAATGTGTGAATATTTTGTGTCTCTGGCAAGTATCTTTCCTTGACATCCTATTTGACCCTTAGATGAGCATTTGATTACATATCCTCTGTTTGGTCTATTTCCACCCAGTTGATTTTGTCATTCTCTGCCCCTGCTTCAGCTCATCTGCTGCTAAAATCCTCATCCATGTGTTTTTTTTTGTCTTGAGCTATAGTGAATCCACATTGTGATGACTCTGACTCAGCGTTTCACTTTGCAAACATCTGGTGAGGACTGTGGTCAAGATGAGATTTTTTACAATCAACTATTTTTATTTGTTAAAACTGTGTTCTAATTTTCAATTCGTTAAATGATGGACAATTAGGATAGGCAATAGCTGCTGGCCTGGCCAGCAATACCCACATCCTGTAAATGAATAAAGAAAAAAAATGTAGGTCTTATTCACAGTATATCCCATATTTGCAATAAATAAGCTTGCAAGCAACTAAATTATTCAAATTCAGCTGACAAAGCAAAAAGAATCCATCCTGGATAGAATCAGGGAATTAATAAGATGTGAAGGATTCTTCTTTGGATTTCACCTAAACATTTCTCTAATCTTTGCTAAGATTAACTTTGTTAAGTTCTTGGGGCAATTTTACATCATTAAATGTGCAATGTGAATTAAAACTGCTTTTGTTGTCATTGAATTATGCTACTGTAGTTAATTATGGCACAATACTTAACAATCAGACTCTAAGGGAATCATTGATTAAAGTGGCTGAGTTGATGACCTTTGTGAATCTCACATTCACCACTGCTGCCATAGAGGTCACTATGATACCTTTCCTTAAACAATGTGCTTTTCTGATGCTTAAATGCAATTATATAGAAACAATCACAGCAAGATATTTGAAAATATTTGTATCATTGATAGCCACAGGTGAGGTGCCTGAAGACTGAAGGTTGGCTAATGTGGTGCCACTATTTAAAACAGGTGGTAAGAAAAGTCAGGGAACTGTGGACTGGTGAGCCTGACTTTGGTGGTGGGCAAGTTGTTGGAGGGGATCCTGAGGGACAGAATTTACATGAATTTGCAAAGGCAAGGACTGACTGGGGATAATCAACATGGCTTTGTGTGTGGGAAATCGTGTCTCCCTAATTTGATTGAGTTTTTTGAAGAAGTAACAAAGGGGATTGATGAGGGCAGAGCGGCGGATGCGATCCATATGGACTTCAGTAAGGCATTCAACAAGGTTTCCCATGGTAGACTGGTTAGCAAGGTCAGATCACATGGAATACAGGGATAATTAGCCATTTGGATACAGAGCTGGCTCAAAGGTAGAAGACAGAGGCATGGTGGAGGGTTGCTTTTCAGACTGGAGGCTTGTGACCAGCAGTGTACTGCAAGGATCAGTGCCGGGTCCACTGCTTGGATGTGAACCTAGGAGGTATGGTAAGGAAATTTGCAGATGACACCAAAATTGGAGGTGTGGTGGACAGCGAAGAAGCTTAACTCAGAGCACAATGGGACCTTGATCAGATGGGTCAATGGCTGAGGTGTGGCAGACAGAGTTTGATTTAGATAAATGTGAGGTGCTGCATTTTGGAAAGGTAAGTCAGGGCAGGATTTAGACACTTAATGGTAAGGTCGTGGGGAGGTTACTGAACTAAGAGACCTTGGAGTGCACATTCATAGTTCCTTGAAAGTGGAGTCGCAGGTAGATAGGACAGTGAAGAGGTGTTTGGTATGCTTGCCTTTATTGGTCAGTGCATTGAGTACAGGAGTTGGGAGGTAATATTGCAGCTGTACAGGACATTGTTTAGGCCACTTTCAGAATACTGTGTGCAGTTCTGGTCTCCCTGCGACAGGAAGAATGTTCTGAAACTTGAGAGGGTTCAGAAAAGATTTACAGGGATGTTGCCAGAGCTGGAGGTTTGAGCTATAGGGCGAGGCTGAATAGGCTGGGGCTATTTTCCCTGGAGCAGTGGGGGCTGAGGGGTGACATTATAGAAGTTTATAAAATCATGAGGGGCATAGATAGGATAAATAGACAAGGTTTTTTCCCCGGGGTGGGGGAGTCCAAAACTAGAGGGAATAGGTTCAAGGTGAGAGGGGAAAGATTTAAAGAGGCAACTTTTTTCATGAAGAGGGTGGTGTGTATGGAATCAGCTGCCAGTGGAAGTGGTGGAGGCTGTACAATTACAACATTTAAAAGGCATCTGGATGGGTATATAAATAAGAAGGGTTTAGAGGGATATGGGCCAAATACTGGCAAATGGGACTAGATTAATGTTGGATATCTTTCCGGCATGGACAAGTTGAACCGAAGAGTATGTTTCAATGCTGTACATCTCTATGATTCTACGACTCTATAATTCTCAAGCCATAAGTCATATAGTCAAAGTTACTGATAAGATGCTAAAGTTATCTTCTGGGAAAGCATCACCTTCCTCTATTACCGCTCTCCCAATAGTAAAATGCTTTAGAGTCTGCAGATGTGTCCTGTATCCCCCACGATGTGGAATGACAATTTGCCTTTCTTGTTTTGTGACTAAATTCATTTATTTGTATTCTGATATGTAAGTAGAAATTACTGTCATTAATGTTACTTATCACACACATACAAATGTCTCTCTTGCTCTCTCTTCTCTCTCAACTGAGGCACCACATGCATAAGAGTAAGAATGACAGCCCTTGACATCAAGACTGCATTTGAGTAAGGCATGAAGCATCACTAACAAAACTGGAATCAATGGGTGCTGGGAAAAACTGTCCACTGGTTGGAGTCATACCTGACACACAGGAAGACGGCTGTGGTTGTTGGAGGTCAGTCATCTCAGCT